AAGAAAGGTAATAGGGAGGAGTCGGGCAACTATAGGCCAGTAAGCCTTACTTCAGTAGTAGGGAAAGTGATGGAAACCATGTTAAAGGATAGGATTGATGAACATCTAAAACACATGGATTTCAAGATCAGAGACAACATGGGTTTACTTCAGGGAGATCATGCCAAACTAATCTTATTGATTTTTTTGATTGGGTAACTAAAATTATAGATCAGGGTGGTGCAATAGACATTGCTTACCTAGATTTCAGTAAGGCTTTTGACATTGTTGCACATAGAAGGCTTATCAATAAACTGCAATCTTTAAGTTTGGATTCCAATATTGTTGAATGGATAAGGCAGTGGCTGAGTGACAGGCAACAGAGGGTTGTGGTTAATGGAATATATTCGAAGCTTGGACTTGTCACCAGTGGGGTACCTCAGGGATCTGTACTTGGACCCATTCTCTTTAATATTTTTATTAATGATATTGCTTGATGGTAAGGTATGTCTTTTTGCTGATGATACTAACATATGTAACAGGGTTAATGTTCCAGGAGGGATAAGCCAAATGGCAAATGATTTAGGTAAACTAGAAAAATGGTCAGAATTGTGGCAACTGACATTTAATGTGGATAAGTGCATGATAATGCATCTTGGACGTAAAAACCCAAGGGCAGAGTACAGAATATTTGATGGAGTCCTAACCTCAACATATGAGGAAAGGGATTTAGGGGTGATTATTTCTGATGACTTAAAGGTAGGCAGACAATGTAATAGAGCAGCAGGAAATGCTAGTAGAATGCATGGTTGTATAGGGAGAGGTATTAGCAGTAGAAAGAGGGAAGTGCTTATGCTATTGTACAGAACACTGGTGAGACCTTACTTGGAGTATTGTACACAGTACTGGAAACCATATCTTCATAAGGATATTGATACCTTAGAGAGGGTTCAGAGAAGGGCTACTAAACTGGTTCATGGATTGGGGGATAAAACTTACCAGGAAAGGTTAAAGGATCTTAACATGTATAGCTTGGAGGAAAGACGAGACAGGGGGGGATATGATAGAAACATTTAAATATATAAAGGGAATCAACACAGTAAAGGAGGAGACTATATTTAAAAGAAGAAAAACTACCACAACAAGAGGACATAGTCTTAAATTAGAGGGAAAAAGGTTTAAAAATAATATCAGGAAGTATTACTTTACTGAGAGGGTAGTGGATGCATGGAATAGCCTTCCAGCTGAAGTGGTAGAGATTAACACAGTCAAGGATTTTAAGCATACGTGGGATAGGCATAAGGCTATCCTAACTATAAGATAAGACTAGGGACTAATGAAAGTATTTAGAAAATTGGGCAGACTAGATGGGCCGAATGGTTCTTATCTGCCGTCACATTCTATGTTTCTATGTTTCTATGTTGATGAAGACCTGGGTACAGGTTGAAACGTTGCAGTGTCCAATAAATCTGCCTGACTTATCACAGTGAGTGCCTGAGAAATTTTCTTTTATATCTGTTCTTATGGGATATGCTGAACCATGTTTAGTCAGCACCCAGTGATTTAAAAAAAAAAAGAAATTAAATTTCAAAAAGTTTAATTAAGATTTTGAACCGAGGTACAGATGTTAGAAAACAGTGCAATATATCAGCGATGGCAGTTACATCAATTATGAACTTACAGTAGTGTGTCTTATGGTCTTTATATACCACTGTAGTGGTCTATACCTCTGGACTGGGATGTTCAGGTGAAAAACCCTTTCTTTTTTTTCTTTTTGTGCGTGGACTAAAACCTTAAGGCGCAACAGAGAGGTTTGCAGGGGCTCTTAACTCTGCCCTTGATATGGAGGATTTGGTCTGTGGAGTCTGCTCCGTCTTTCTATGAACCAATAAGGAAGGGGATTTAGGGGAGTGAATAAGAGTGGGTGAGAAAGTTAAGTCAAGTCAGGATATTGTTCACTTGGCTATTGCTTAAAAAATTCACACCATGGCCTCCAGGTGAGAATATGTGGTAATAGTGGAGCGCAGTGAGTGCAAAATCTCGTCTTTGACTGAGAAATAATGTAATTCCCCTTCCAGCTCTGGGAGGCCCCTGGTTTATTGTTCATACAGATGCTTCAATGTTCGGACTGGGGGTAGTGTTAACCCTTTAAGGACCAAACTTATGGAATAAAAGGGAATCATGACATGTCACACATGTCATGTGTCCTTAAGGGGTTAAGCCAGGTGGGAGAGGATGTAGAAAACTTCTTCCTAGAGAGGTCAGCTACGCAGCAGTCGAGGAGGAGTGCTTAGCCCTGGTGTGGGCCTTGAAAAAGTTATCCCCATATTTGTATGGACAGGAGTTTACCTTGGTTACAGACCATAATCCTCTGGTGTGGTTAAACCACGTTGCTGGGGACAATGGCCAGCTACTGAGATGGGGTCTGGCACTCCAATCCTACAACTTTACCATCCAGTACTGGCCCGGCAAGCAGAACGGCAACGTGGATGGATTGTCTCGACAGACTGACCTCATCCCCGAATAACAGCGTCTGGACAATTTGGGTCTGCCAGAGTGTCCCACAAAGAGGGAGCCGTGTAACAAAATCCCTCATTGTTTGTAGTAGTTATGGTGATTTTTCTCACAGTGATTATGGTGTGGATCACGGTACTAGCATTGTATTCCAACCAAGAACACGCTCCTAGACTCTGGTTATCCTGGGACTATGGCCCCTGGAGTGCATTACCTGTTAAAAACTATGTCTGGCCCTTTAACTCTGCTAGGAAAGAATCTGTTATTTTAAAACCAGTGTGACAAACTGCCATATCTTTCCACATGCCAAATTGCCCTGTTCCTCTGGCTTATGGAGAAGCCTGCTTGCCAGCTATATCACTACTAGCTCTTATTGGAGCTCATTCCAGCTACCCTGCTACGCCTTCTGGAAGGAGAGCCCCAGCTATACCCTCCAGGAGGAGGGGATCCCGCTCTACCCACTCTACAGGACCTTGAGTTGGAGCTCTGCCGTGGTCTCCAGTACTGGGAAGGAGGACACCCAGACGGTAGATACCCTACTCCATAGGGGTAACCGTCACAGCGTGCGTCCATTCAGTCCGCTGGTTGGCCACCCCCCCATGATTTTTTTTATGATTGAATGTAGTCCCTTTTTTCTCCTTTTTAAACCAAATTGCTAGTTGTCTTTTCACAGTGAATTCAGAGTGTTTTTCAAATTGCAAGATAAAATAGCTGAAGCATAGCACACTTTAAATTCATATTTTTGTAAATAACCCTGTATACTATAGAAATCCGGAGGTCAATCCCACCATATTTGTCAGAGAATCATCAATTACTGCACTATGTTGGCCTCTTCTTTTTCTTCATTGACTAATTTGTCATGATTCTAGAAGTCACTGTAGATTGTTTGGACTGATGCCTAGAGCCAATGTTTAACACATTTCCAGACTCATAACATCGCTATTCTCTAAGTTTTCCCAAATTAAATATGAATTTCAAGATTAAGGAAAAATTTAATCAGTTGAGCTTTTTGATCAGTTTTTCCATTTAAAATAACTTTAATGTTAAACTTTATTGAATAACCCTGACATAGTTCTAAGTCATCTGTGTATTTCCTTGATGGTACAGAGTGGAGAGGCTCAGATTTGATGGGGCAAGTTTGTGGAGGTTACAACTAGCTAAAGTCTTCATTTGTTCATGTATCACGTTGACTGAAATATACAACTTTATCTTTTAAAAAAAAATTTTTTAAAAAAATTGTATTAAGTCTGATCTACATTAATTCTGTCTACTCATCTTTATCGATACACACTGCTTGACAACAAATACAATTACAATGAACACAGAGAGCAAAGTAATGTAATAACTGAACCAATGTTTTTAATCTTACAGGATCCTTTTCATTCATTAATCATAGCAAAATGAATTGAGAAAGCAGATGTGGTGTCTATATTTAAAAAGGGATCAACATCTCTGCTGAAAATAACGTGTCGGCAGAGCCAAATTTCCCATGATGCCTTGGGACACCAGGCCAGATAGGAACTGCACCGACAGTTGGGAGTTCAAGGAAATCTATCTCTGGCCAGCCCATTATTATTCTTGAAAAAGCACCAGGGAGCTTGTGATCTGCACCCCTGGAGGGTGCAGACTGTATATAATGCTCCTGCTAGAATTCCCATGGCAATGCTCTGCCAGATGGAGCTATACAAGTGGTCTGCACTCGCCAAATGTACATACCAAAACAGCACCTATCCCCAGCACACAATAGAGCCTCTCCCACAACACTAAACAACACAGAGCCACTGTCTCCTCTCAACACACACAACAGTTCATATCACCACCAAACACATATTAAAGCCTCTCCCAACAAACACTACATCCTCACCCTCCCACAAACACACAATAAATCCTCGATTTTCCAACGCACTAACCACAACCTTAATTTTCACCCACCCAACACATAATACAGCCCCTATTCCCACCCACACACATTGCTTCTCCAGTTTGCCCCACATTCACTTCAGCCCAAATTCTCCTTACTTACACTATATATCTAATTCACCCAAAACATATACTACAGTCCCAATTTTCCCAGCAAATACATACTACAGTACTTTTCCCTCACAAACACACACTATAGCCTCTATCCCCCATAACCAAACACATTGCAGCCTTTATCCACGTATAGCTTTTATTTATATGCACACACATACACAATACACCATAACCAGCCCCATCTATACACATACAAGCCCACAACAGCCACCATCCCACAACCCTACAAACAGCCTCCCCAACATACGCAACAACACAAGCAGCATTCCAGAAACATCCTATCCTCACATACGCAACACCACAAGAAGCCAGCTGGAGACAGACAGGAACACCCTGTCAAGGTCTATTCAGACTCTGGGGGTTCTCCCTTGGCAAGCCTGCAGCCCAGAAATACCATGTCTGTGGTGTTGTGAATAGAGTTAATGGGTTCTAAACATGGTGAATTCATAGGCATGCGCAGCCTATTGCATTAGGGTGTGCACCCTAAAGCACAAGCACACGCCGTATATATATATATATATATGTATCTATGTATATAGATACATATATATATATATATATATACGGCGTGTGCTTGTGCTTTAGGGTGCTGTGTGTGTGTGTGTGTGTACTGTGTGAGGGTGCTGTTAGTGTGATGTGTGTGTGTGAGGGTGCTGGTAGTGTGCTATGTGGGTGAGGGTGTTTGTGTGTGCATGCTTGTGAGGGTGCTGTTAATGTACTGTGTGTGAGGGTGCTGTTTGTGTGTGTGTGCGCGCTTTTGAGGATGCTGTATGTGTATGGGTGCTGTGTATGTCTGTGGGTGCTGTATGTGTGTAGGTGCTGTGTACGTGTGTGGGTGCTGTATGTGTGTGGGTGCTGTATGTGTGTTGGTGCTGTGTATGTGTGTGGGTGCTGTATGTGTGTAGGTGCTGTGTATGTCTGTGGGTGCTGTGTATGTCTGTAGGTGCTGTGTATGTCTGTGCGTGCTGTTTGTGTGTTGGTGCTGTGTATGTGTGTGGGTGCTGTATGTGTGTAGGTGCTGTGTATGTCTGTGGGTGCTGTATGTGTGTGGGTGCTGTATGTGTGTAGGTGCTGTGTATGTCTGTGGGTGCTGTATGTCTGTGGGTGCTGTATGTGTGTAGGTGCTGTGTATGTCTGTGGGGGCTGTATGTGTGTGGTTACATTACTTAATATCCCCCCTCCCTTCTTACTTTATGTAGGGAGGGGGGATTATTGTTCCTTGCTGCCTTCCCTGGTGGTCCAGTGGAGGTGGGGGCAGATTACTTAATATCCCTCACCTTATGTAGGGAGGGGGGATCCTTTCTGCCATCCCTGGTGGTCCAGTGGTGAGTGAACTCTAGCTAGATCTGAGCGTTGCCGCGGCAACGCTCAGATCTCGCAAGAGGAACCCGGCGGAGCTGCCGGCAATAGCTCCCCAGGTCCTCTCCTGCCTCCCTCCCTGCATGTGGGTCGGTGGGGAGGGAGGCTGAGAGCAGAGCCGGTGCTTGGATATAAATTATTATTTATAAATTAACTTTTACACCCCTCCTTGCTGCGGCGCAGTTAATAATTGGGCTACTCTTTGCCCATTTAAGAACACTACATCACTTTAAATTATTCTACTTGAAAGTACTATTAGATTACAATTATGTCAAAAAAAGCACTTTTAAACTTTTACTTCATATCCACTTTATGCATAGGCGTCCTGCAGGAACAGCGTTCCTGCACTTTTTTTTGAGCAGGAACGCTGTTCCTGCAGGCACTCAGTGCCCCCACATGCCCACCTTCCTCCCCCCTGTGCTGCCCCTGTCATGGGGGGGGAGGGCAAAAGGTGATGGATCCCCCCCACCTCCATCTCAGCCGCGGCGAGGGAGCTGCTTTCTCTTGCCGCACGCCGTTTGCTGATGCCGGGAGCCGGAATATGACGTCATATTCCGGCTCCCAGCTACTGTAGACAGCCCGCGCGGCGAGAGGAAGCACAGAGCACACAGCTCCCTCGCTGCAGCTGAGATGGAGAGAGGCGCCCGCCCCACTGAACCACAGGGACAAGTCCACGCCAGCACTCCAGGTAGGGAGGCTGGGTAGACATTTTTTTATTAAAATATAATAATTTGTATGTGTGTCTGTAAGTGTGTGTGTGTCTGTGAATGTGTGTGTGTGTCTGTATGTGTGTGTATGTGTCTGTGAATGTGTGTGTGTGTGTCTGTGAATGTGTGTGAGTGTGTGTGTATGTATGTGTGTGTCTGTATGTGTGTGTGTGTCTCTGTATGTGTGTGTGTCTGTGAGTGTGTGTGTGTCTGTATGTGTGTCTGTGAATGTGTGTATGTGTGTCTGTGAGTGTATGTGTGTCTGTGAATGTATGAGTGTGTGTCTGTGAGTGTATGTGTGTGTGTGTGTGTCTGTGAATGTCTCTGTGAGTGTGTGTGTGTGTGTGTACGCATAATATATATATATATATATATATACACACACACGAGTGTATATTATTTTTTTGGGGGGTGGGAATCTTGGGAGAGTTCCCACACATTATTCCACAGGACTTGTACCCTATCTGAGTGCGCTATCTGAGTGCCGGCTCTGCTCTAAGCCTCCATGGGCCGATGGGGAGACCAAAGATCTACCTCACCGACCCACAACAGCATGGAGGGAGGAAGGAGAGGACCCAGGGAGCTCTAGACAGCAGCTCCGCCAGGTTCCTCTCACAATAGGCTAGTGGTGTTGTGGAGAGAGGCACTGAGGCTAATGGTGTTGTGGAGAGAGGCACTGAGGCTAGTGGTGTTGTGGAGAGAGGCACTGAGACTAGTGGTGTTGTGGAGAGAGGCACTGAGACTAGTGGTGTTGTGGAGACCGGCTTGGAGACTATGGTGAGGCCTAATAGAAAGCAGTTGTTGTTGGGGGATTCCATTATAAGAGGTGTGGAGATGGACAATGGTGGTCTTGTGAGGTGTCTTCCCGGAGCTACTGCTCACAGAGACAGGAGACGTATCTGTAATATTGTTAAGCAAGCAAAGCAGGAAGGGGAATTGGATGTACTTGTCCATCTAGGGACAAATGACTTGGCTTGCAATGAGGTTTCAGAGGTTAAGGAAGTTTTTAGTGTTTTTGCCAATAATATACGGCAGGTTGCTTCCACACTGTCATTCTCTGAAGTTCTGCCTGTGCATAACACTCAGAACGACAGGCGGATGCGTATTAGGGACTTTAATTTGTGGCTTGGTGAATGGTGTCGGGAGCAAGGATTTGGCTTTATTTCTCATGGTAGCTCTGTTTGGAATGGAGATAAGCTGTACAAAAAAGATGGTTTGCATCTTTCTCAAAAGGGAACAAATGTTCTCAGTGAGCAGTTCAGAGGTTTTGCTAGGATGTATTTAAACTAGAAGGGGGGCAAAAGGGTGATAAAACATCAATCCAATTTAGTCGCTGTTACTGAGACATGGTACAATGAGAGAAAATGACTGGGACATAGCAATACCAGGTACTCTTTATATAGGAAAGATAGGGGAGGCAAGAAAAGGGGAGGGTGGCCTTGTATGTGAAGGATAGCATAAAATCTAGCCTAATAAAGTTAGTGAGGCAAACATAGAGTCCGTTTGGGCTACGTTAGAATTTGGTAATCACACAGTAACTCGTGTAGGTGTGATTTATAGGCCCCCAGGACAAATTGAAGAGTTAGATAATCTACTAGTTGAGGAAATAGCTAAAATGACAATGAAGGGGGAAGTTATCATCATGGGTGACTTTAATCTCCCTGATGTAAATTGGAAAATAAAATTAGCTACTTGTGCCAGGAGCACACATATTCTAAACTCTCTACTGTGTTGATTCCCTTTATGTATTTAAATGTTTCTATCATATCCCCCTCTCTTGTCTTTCCTCCAAGCTATACATGTTAAGATCCTTTAACCTTTCCTTGTAAGTTTTATCCCGCAATCCATGAACCAGTTTAGTAGCCCTTCTCTGAACTCTCTCTAAAGTATCAATATTCTTCTGGAGATACGGTCTCCAGTACTGTGTACAATACTCCAAGTGAGGTCTCACCAGTGTTCTGTAGAATGGCATGAGCACTTCCCTCTTTCTACTGCTAATACCTCTCACTATACAACCAAGCATTCTGCTAGCATTTCCTGCTACTCTATTACATTGTCTGCCTACCTTTAAGTCATCTGAAATAATTACCCATAGATCCCTTTCCTCAGATGTTTAGGTTATGACTCTATCAAATATTCTGTACTCTTCTAGTACAAAATGGCAAAATTAATTATACAACGTATTAGGTTTTTGAAGGTGAGTTTGCAGTGCAGGTGCATACACTACATCCCCATAATCAATGACCGGTATTATCATTTGTTGCACTTCTGCTTCCTTACTGTAGAGCTTAGGCAGGATTTGTTTCTGCACAGGGCACCTTGTTTTATATGACGTTTTGAAGAGATTTTTTTCAATGTGAAGGCCAAAGAATAGGTTGGGTCTAGCAACAAACCTAGATATTTGGAAAAACTGACTGCGTTCAGTGTGCTATTTGAATTTATACTGATACATAGTTGTTGATTTTGTAGTTTATGTAATTTAGGTACAGTTCCAAAAATCATTGTGACAGTTTTGTCAGTGTTTAGGAAGAGTTTGTTAACCGCAATCCACTTTTATACCTCTGTGAATTGGTTCTTGGAGTCCAGCCTCAAACTGCGGTAGATTGGGTTTACTAACGTAGATTACAGTGTCGTCTGCATATAAGTGTACAGTTGAGGATTTGCAGATGTTAGGTAGATCATTTATAAACAATGTGAATAGTAAGGAGCCTAATATGGAGCCTTGGGGAACACCACACGTGACTGGAAGAGGGAGGAAGGCACTGTCAGAAATGGTCACATATTGCAATTTGTTTGATCGAAACCAGGTTAGCAGACGATCACCAATACCTGAAGTTTTTTCAAAATAATGCCGTGGTCTACTGTGCCAAAGGCCCTGGCAAAATAGCTCCAGTTAAGTATTCCTTGTGTCATGCCAATTTGGATGTCATTGCAAACTTTTAAGAGGGCAGTTCGGGACATCACTATTTATGATGTTCCAAAGGTTTCTTGGGTTTGATATTTTATTGTTCAAATTTTCACTGAAATATTGGGCCTTTTCCATTTTCATTTGTTTTGTGCATGCATTTCTCCATTGTCTCTAGGCACAGTGATTGTTCATGGATCCAGTAGGCTTCAATATTAAGAATCAAAAATTAAAATCTCCAAAGACCAACAGTTCACTTTTTGGTTTTGAGCTTCATTTAATCACTAAGGAGTTGTGCTATGCCAGAAAAGGAATGCACTGGGGAGCTAGGTTGGCAGTAGATTCCAGCAACAATGATAGTTTTACTGAAAGGGATCTCAGTTGTGCCAGAAAGGAAATCAAAGATGGCAGGGGAGCTATAGTGTATTAAAGGGTTGAACTTTATGGACCTGTCAACATAAATAACAATGCTACCTCCTCTCTTTGCTCTGTCATTCTAAAACATGAATACCCATGTATGGCGGAGTCTGGTATATAAATATATGTGTATATAAAGTTATCATTACATGCCTTTCAATACGGACCAGCAATGTCCGAAAAGCTTAGGTGCCTTGTTCTAAATATCCCCTCCCTCTTTGCCCAGTCATGATGGTTGAATAAAGATTGATATATTATTTTCTGAGTTTTTCCCCAGCAAATGGCAGCTCAACAGTCACATATAATAAGAGTGCCCTCATATAAAATGTATTTAATTTACTTGTGTTTAGCAGCAGGTATACCCTTTGTTATGATATAGCTATGCTATGAAACAAAAAAATATGCATATTTTGCCTTCTGCAAGACAATTCTAAGAAATGCTGCTACTGGAACTGATCAACTTCACCATAATGCTGCATTTAAAGAGAGGCTAAAAACCCTACATTAGTCAAGCTTGAGGCAGAGACAGGATAGCAGTGAATATATGAATTAAGGACTTTAAAGAAGCCTTCTAAGAGCTAGAAAGAACTGCAGCTTCTTGTATGGTGCTACACATTTGTGTGTCGAACCTTGTTTTTGTTTGTCAAGCTGTTTTTAAGCAGTTTGTCAAGAACATTATGCTCTACGCCATTATCCAACCAAAAGTTCACAATCTTAGATAGTAAAGATGGGCTGCCAGTGCTGGACTCAACCATACACATCGCTCTCTGCCTCTTATTGGTTGAGTGCATTTGGATGGAATATCTGGAGATGTTGGTTGTGCATTATCCAAAAGGCTGCAGAGGGACAAGACTTTGGGTGTAGGAGAGAGAGACTTCTTTGACAAACTGTTTGAAAATAGTTTGAGAAAAAACTGAGGACAGTATCCAACGATTTAGATTACCACGTCTACTGGAATGAGCTGAAGTGGTTAGTTGGACATAGCTCACAAGGCTGCAAGAAAAGTAGAAATAGGGTATATACCAGCGGGAGATAGTCAAAGTTTGCAATATATGTATGTTTAGTGTAGATTGGATTAACCAAATTAATACAGTAGACAAGGTGCCAAAATACTATTATAAATATATATACTTGTAAAGTCCTAGCACTCCTGCTTAAAATGTCACATGTCTTTCTGTGTTCTATTACTCGGCATCCAATACATAAAATATGCAAAAATCTGACGGCACTCACGGTTTTTTCTATATCCAGAAACTCCTTTATTATTCCATGTTTCAAACAATTCACATTACTTTGTGGTGAGAAGTACAGCGATCAACATTTAAGTCCCTCTTGGCGACTTTCCTCAGTGCCACTAACTAGGTACCCCTAAAATAAACAATATACGGTTCTAATCAAAATTATTTAACTCCCATTGAAAATCAGGTTTTATTGTGAAAATGTACAGACTTTCAGCTGTTTGCAATGAACAAATCGAACAAAAGCAATTGAAATAACTCAACACAACGAATGCTTCAAGTGGTTTTCCCAAATTCAACTGAAAATACAACTTATAATGACTTCTCCTGGCTCAAAATGATTCAACCCCTTCATGGCAAACGTCTTTAGTACTTAGTAGAGGGCACTTCTGCTGTTATGACCTGCTGCAAACGAGATGCGTAAGCCAGACACCAGCTTCTGGTAGCATTCCTAAAGAATCTTAGCTCATGAGCAATGGCCTCCAGTTCAGTAATATTCTTGGGTTTGCGTGCTACAACCACCTTTTTTCAAATCCCACCAGAGATTTTCTACGTGGTCAAGTCAAGTGACTGTGATGGCCACTGTAGAACAAGGATGATATAACATAAGCTATTACTGATTGTGGTTAAAAAGCATGCAAAAAAAGACATTAAATGGCTTAATGTGTACTTATATAAAATGCCTTGATTTAAAGTGGCATTGTGTATTTGTGCAAAATGCCTTCATTTAAAGTGTAAAGTTTATTAAAGTAAACTATTTGCTCTAAAGTGTACTTGTCATTATATAAAGTGCTCTCTGTACTATAGTATTGGTGGTAATTTGTGTGTGCTAAAACCTGCAACTAATTAAAAAAAACAAGTAATATTGTGCTAAAAGTGCTATGGTGCCTAAATCTTTACCGATTATCTAATTATATATAATGCTTAGGTCTAGTGATGTCGCGAACCGTTCGCGAACTTGCCGCGAACGGTTCGCCACGGTTCGCGGCGAACTCCGGTCAGCTGACACATCCCTGCCAATCTCCGGCAGACCCTCCCTCCCACACCCTCCTACTTCCTGGACAGCATCCATGTTGAAGGCACTTCCATGTTGAAGGCACTTCAACATGGATGCTGTCCAGGAGGTGGGAGGGTCTGGGAGGGAGGGTCTGCCGGAGATTGGCAGGGATGTGTCAGCTGACCGGAGTTCGCCATGAACGGTTCGTGGCGAACCGTGACCAACCGTTCGTGGCAAGTTTGCGAACGGTTCGCGACATCACTACTTAGGTCCTTATGAGGAACAAAATAATAATAAAATACCACATATACCACGTTTCTAGGTACAACCGTCTCTCAAAAATTATCACAGCATTGCAACTAAAATTCAATCTATAGATAACAATTCAAAACACAGCAATCAATTAAGACACAGGATTTGAGCTACCTGGATCTATATGCTGTATATATGAATGAGTAATCGCTCATCCGTATGATATTGAGCGGTTCCCCACTAACATTCTATAGTTGACTCATAACTTCTAGCAGCATTATTTAGTAAAGGATACAGTAACAGGGGATTTATTTCATACCTCTTCCTCACCATTATTAGCTTCCCAATAGCAAGTGTTTGACACCTGGGGCTCACTATTTTGGTTCTCCCCATGTATCCCTTCACTTCCACTTTTCTCTCAACACCCATCTCCTTACTCTAAGCGATTTATATAAACATGGGACGCTTTTGGGTCACTCCTATTACTTGGATACCCATACATCAGGGTGCTTATTTGTAACTGTATGCATAGGATACCAATACCTTCAGTTACATTTTTACCACATCTCCCTGACAAAACAGCCAATCCAACTAGTGGTTAGATTGGCTACTTTTTAGCAACATTGTATCAGGTACAATCAAACCTGTTACAATAGGCTACAGTTTATGGTCCTATTTTAACTTAGCCACATTTGTACTTTATTCTTTTTAGGGAAGACAACTCTTTTCCGAGTATCCTTCTCCACTTGTGTTCCGTTCTATCTGGCTTGTTGTAAAGCTTTGTAAATCCTAAAGGCTGTAGCCACGATTTAGAAATGTGTCATCTCTTGTAGCTTTACTTCCATTGTAACTGGATTGGAGTTATTCCTCATTACTCTGAGATATTGTGCTTTTGGTAATGTAGTCCCTTGGAACGAGTGCAGTTTAGTAGAACGGGGGCCCTGACAGGGCTAGGAGGTGGGCATAGGTGGAGCAGTGCAGGATTGGTAGATTGGGGCTAAGGGGTGGTGGCATATATATAGGGGAAGCCATCTCAGGAATAGGCAATTTAATGTACTCACCAACATGAGTTTGTGGACCCTCTGGTGTGTGCAGACTCTATTTGGTGGGTTTTACCTCTTTTGTTTTGCAGGATGGAGTCTCTAGAGGAGATAATCAGAGGAGTTTGAGCTGCTGCACAGAACCAGGGAGAAGATTGGATGCAAGAGAGGCAGTGCGTGATGGTGACGGCATCGGCGGAGCCTGAGGGTCGGCTGGGGGACCAGCCTACATGTGCCAGGAGGCCCCCATGGTGTCTTAGCCCTGGAGGGACCTCCCCTGTTGCTGGAGAGGTTGGCGGAATGGGTGTGACTAGGGGTTGACGGTGGAGCCAGGGGGCGGCATGCTCAGGGGCCGGCGGGCCTGAATGTGATGGTGCAGCTCCTTCCTCCACAGGAATTGCGCCTGGAGTGCAGGCCCCCCGCAGGCGATGGAGCGGGCCTTGGAGCTGCAGGACGGGTGGTGCCACAATCCAGAGGTGCACACCATGGCGGTAGAGGGTGGAAGTTGAGGGCTGATACTCCTGGTGGTTGGCCTCCCAATGTTGGAAGTTATGCAGAACCTTTCCACACTAGCATGAGCCATTCCAAATTAGAACATAGGACCATTCTCAATGGTGTAGACTTCTTTAATCCTGGAATCAAATGTTTACTAGGGCATTATGGGGAAATAAGTTTATCAAAAAACAATAGTTACAGTCATCTCATTAATAAACTGATAGCAGTCTCATGCTATTAGAATATATACAGCCATTTCACTCTCTATTGAACCTGGTTGTATTTTACTAACGGAAAACCCTTTCCGTAACTTATCTTTCACTCCACAGATAAGAGTCAGAATGTCCTATTATATATCCTGTGCATAGGCGTGCGCACAGGGTGTGCCGAGTGTGCCTGGGCACACCCTAATCCCCGTGGCACACCTATGGTTTGAGTCCTGCAGGAACAGCGTTCCTGCACTTTTTTTGAGCAGGAACGCTGTTCCTGCAGGCACTCAGCGCCCCCTGTCTCACCTCTTGCCCCTGTCATGGGAGGGGGCAAGAGATGATGGATCCCCCCCCTCTCTGCAGCTCAGTGTCTGTGAATGTGTGTGTGTGTGTGTCTGAGTGTGTGTGTGTGTCTGAGTATCTGAGTGTGTGTGTCTGAGTGTGTGTGTCTGTATGTGTGTGAGTGTGTCAGTGAGTGTGTGTCTGTGAATGTGTGTGTGTGTGTGTCTGAGTGTCTGTGAGTGTATGTGTGTGTCTGTGTGTGTGTCTGTGTGAGTGTGTGTCTGTGAATGTGTGTGTGTGTGTGTGTGTCTGAGTGTCTGTGAGTGTATGTGTGTGTCTGTGTGTGTGTCTGTGTGAGTGTGTGTCTGTGAATGTGTGTGTGTGTGTGTGTCTGTGAGTGTGTGTCTGTGAATGTGTGTGTCTGTGTGAGTGTGTGTGTGTCTGTGAGTGTATGTATGTGTGTGTGTCACACAGCACCTTTAAAAAAAACACCCTCACACACACACACAAACAGCACCCTCACAAATACACGACACTCACACAAACAGCACCCTCACAGGACAAACATACACACACAAACACCCTCACACACAAACAGCACAGTCACAAACACCCTCACATCACACTAACAGCACCCTCACACACACATCACACTAACAGCACACAGCACACTAACAGCACACACAGCAGTGTGTGTGTGTATATATATATAAATATATATATATAGATACATACACACATACACACACACTCACAGACACATTCACAGACACACACACACACACACACATACACTCACAGACACACACTCATACATTCACAGACACACATACACTTTCATGTGTGAGAGTAGCTTGTAGTCAAGGCAGTCAGACAGGTAGCCAATACCACTTAGTTCCAAGTTGTCAGTTTCAATTTTGTCAATATGGTGCAGCATGTGCACACAGGATCATAGGCGTGTGCAGCCTATTGCATTAGGGTGTGCACCCTAAAGCACAAACACACACAGCAGTGTGTGTGTGTATATATATATAAATATATATATATAGATACATACACACATACACACACATGCGGCGTGTGTTTGTGCTTTAGGGTGCACACCCTAATGCAATAGGCTGCACACGCCTATGATCCTGTGTGCACATGCTGCACCATATTGACAAAACTGAAACTGACAACTTGGAACTAAGTGGTATTGGCTACCTGTCTGACTGCCTTGACTACAAGCTACTCTCACACATGAAAGTGGGGTCTAAACATCATGCGCTTTGCAGTGATACAAAGTTCTCTTGATACTTACAATGACTCTTAGTCGTAGTGTCCAGATTCCCGCCATTATCCAAAACAGGAAAAGCACACACCTATAAAAGTACCAACATGATGGTGCCACATGAACTAGGGAGACTCATGCCTCTGAAGAATACCAAATGTAGCTTGAGAAAGGCTCTTGTGCAGGGCCGGTGCTAGGATTTTTGACTACACAGGCGAAGATGCATTTTGACGCCCCCCCAAAAAATAAACAATGCATCTTCACCTCTGTGTCTCGTAGCCCCCTTTTGAATTTCTTACCCCCATTAGTGTTGCATATCCACTCTCTTGAATGTCTTATCCCTTTGGCCCCTTTGTGCCTTACACCCCCCTTTAGTGTGTCTCCTACAACACCTCTTATGTATTTCTTACTTCCCCGCCAGCCCCTATCTATCTCTCTTTTTCTCCCACATAGACAGATACAGGCAAAAATACATACATGCACAAATACACAAACATACAGACACACAACCATACAAGCACACAAAAATTTTTCAGGCACACAGTCACAAAGATATACAGACACACAGTCATAAAAGGCACACAAACAAACACATTCATACAATCTACACATACAGGTACATTGTCATACAAACACAGACATACATTCATACAGACACAGGCACTCACAGAAATATAGACACAGACATAAAGAAACAGAGATAGGCATACAGAGACATACATACACAGACAAACAAAGAACCCTGCACACTGATACCGTGTAAATGCTCCGGCCTTCAACAGTGGTGGATGCTCCGTGTCAGGCGGACTTTCGCTGGATCCACCAGTAAAGTCTTCAAAAGGAATAAACGCAGGCAACACTCCAATAGTAAGGATGGTATATTTATTGGTAGGTGAACCACCCCATAGAAAGTGTGATGTTTCAGCTCATGCAATAAGGCTCTGCTGAGCCGAAACGACGCACTTTCTTTGGGGTGGTTCACCTATCAATAAATATACCATCCGTACTATTGGAGTGTTGCCTGCGTTTATTCCTTTTGAATACATACACACAGTCATACAGAGACATACATACTGTATGTCTCTGTATGACGGTCTGTGTATGTACACAGGATGGCTAAAAGATAGATCCCCATCTGTCGTGCAACTTCAACAATGCTTTGCAAGCTGGGGCTCTACCAATTCCTCATGCTTGCAGGATTGTATATAGCATGAAGCAGTATTTGTGTGTTTGACTGTAAGCATGTGTTTGTATGGAGTATGTTTGTATGATTGTAGCGGTGTGTTTGTATGTAGTGTTTGCATTTGAATGCAAGCATGCATTTATGTGTAGTGTTGGTTTTTGAACGTAGGTGTGTGTTTATATATAATTTTGGTGTCTGATACAGAGGTGTGTTTGTATGTAGTGTTGACATTTGAATGCAGGGGTGTGTTTGTATGTAGTGTTGACGTTTGCATGCAGGTGTTTATTTGTGTGTAGTGTTGGTGTTTGAATGCTGAGATATATGCACATATACACATACACTGCCACACACGCACACACTGTGATACACACACAGACACACACACACACAGACAGATACACACACAGACACACACACAGACATACAGACAGATACACACACACAGACATAC